AAGGTCAGGAACAAGAGAAGGATGTCTAATCACACTGTTTTTATTTGACATAGTACTGGAAGTCCTAGCCACAGCAATCAGACAACAAAAAGAAATAAAAGGCATCCAAGATGGTAAGAAAGAAGTAAAACTTTCACTATATGTAGATGACGTGATACGCTCTATAAAAAGACCCTAAAGAGTCCAACAACAAAAAACTGTTAGAACTGATAAATGAATCTAGTAAGGTCCCAGGATACAAAATCAATGCACAGAAATCCATTGTCTTCCTATACACTAATAATGAAGCAGTAGAAGGAGAAATTAAGAAAATAATCCTGTTTACAATTGCACCAAAAATAATGATACCTAGGAATAAATGTAACCAGGGGTGAAAAACCTATACTCTAAAAACTATAAAACATTGATGAAAGAATTTGAAGATGGCATAAAGAAATGGAAAGATATTCCATACTTGTGGTTTGGGAGAACAAATATTGTTAAAGTGTCCATATTACTCAAAGCAAGCTACAGATTTAATATAACCCCTATCTAAACACCAACAGCCTTTTTCATAGAACTAGAACAAACAATCCTAAAATTTGTACGGAGACACAAAAGACCCTGAACAGCCAAAGCAATCTTGAAAAAACAAAACAAAACAAAACTGGACACATCACAATTCCTGACTTCTATATTACAAAGCTGTAGTAATCAAAACAGTATGGTACTGGCACAAAAGTAGATACATAGGTCAATGGAACAAAATAGAAAGCCCAGAAATAAACCCATAATTATATGGTAAATTAATCTTTGACAAGATTATGCAAGAGGCAAGAGGCAAGAATATGCAATGGGAAAAAGACAGTCTCTTCGACAAATGGTACTGGGAAAACTGGACAGCTCCATGCAAAAGAATGAAACTGGACCACTCTCTTATACCATACACAAAAATAAATTTAAAATTGATTAAAGACATAAATGTGAGACCTGAAACCATAAAAACCCTAGAAGAATACACGGGCAATAATTTCTCTGACATCAGCTGGGGGGGGGGGGGAATAAAAGCAAAAAATAAACTATTGAGACTATATCACAATAAAAAGCTTCTTCACAACAAAGGAAACAACCAACAAAACTAAAAAGCCATCTACTGAATGTCATTATTTGCAAATGACATATCTGATAAAAGGTTAGTATCCAAAATATACAAAGAACTTACATGACTCAACACCAAAAAACCCATAAATAATCCAATGAAAAAATGGGCAGGGGTGCCTGGGTGGCTCAGTTGGTTAAGCGTCTGACTTTGGCTCAGGTCATGATCTCACAGTTCATGGTTTCAAGACCCGCGTCGGGCTCTGTGCTGACAGCTCAGAGCCTGGAGCCTGGTTTGGATTCTGTGTTTCCCTCTCTCTCTTTCTGTCCTTCCCCTGCTCACTCTCTGTCTCTCAAAAATAGATAAAAACATTAAAAATTTAAGAAAAAAAAACGGGCAGAAGATGCGAACAGACATTTCTCCAAAGAAGACATACAGATGGTCAACAGACACATGAAAAGATGCTCAACATCACTCATCATCAGGGAAATGCAAATCAAAACCAGAATGAGATATTACCTCACACCTGTCAGAATGGCTAAAATCAACAACACAAGAAACAACAGGTGTTGGTGAGGATGAGAAAAAAGGGGGACTCTCTTGCCCTGTCAGTGGGAATGCAAACTGGTGCAGCCACTGTGGAAAACAATATGAAGGTTCCTCAAAAAATTCAAAATAGAATTACCCTATGATCCAGGAATCACACTATTAGATATTTGTCCAAAGAATACAGAACACTAATTTGAATGGATACATGCACCCCTAAGTTCATTGCAGCATTATTTACAATAGCCAATCTATGGAAGCAGCCCAAGTGTCCATCCATAGATGAATGGATAAAGAAGATGTGGTGTAGATACACAATAGATATTACTCAGCCATAAAAAAGAATGAAATCTTGCCATTTGCATCAACAAGGATGGACCTAGAGAGTATAATGCTAAGCGAAATAAGCCAGTCAGAGAAAGGCAAATACCATATGATTTCACTCATATGTGGAGTTTAAGAAACAAATGAGCCAAAAAAAAAAAAAAAAAGAAAGAAAGAAAAAAAAAAAGAGAAAAAGAAAAAGAAAGAGAAAGAGAGCGCCAAACCAAGGAATAGACTCTTAACTATAGAGACCAAACTGATGGTTACCAGAAGGGAGGTGGGTGAGGGGATGGAGGAAATAGGTGATGGGGATTAAGAGTCCACTTATCTTGATGAACACTGAGTAATGTATAGAACTGTTGAATCATTATACACCTGGAACTAATATAACACTGTATGTTATCTACATTGGAATTAAAATAGAATAAGCTAAGCTAAAATAAAATAAAATAAAATAAAATAAAATAAAATAAAATGTTAAGTGAAAAAAATAGAAGTATGTGACTAGAATGAGGCCACATGAGCAGTAAGTCACTACTTACTAGCAAGAACAAAGGCTAGAGTTCCTTTGCTGAAGACCAAGGGCCTGGAAGCCATAAAGAATGGTCCATGGTGGAATTCTGCCTATGTCTAAATGCCCCTTGTCCTTGTGTCACACGAGGGGCAGGGATGGTGGCCCACAAATAGGCCTCTTTCCCTTTCAGAACAGAAGAAGTAGAAAATCAGAAAATACTGATTTAAATCTGTTAGAGTTTGCAAGACATGGCTGGGCCTGAACATCTATTTCATGGGTGAGCATGGGAGCTACAGGGGAGTTGTAGAGCAGACAGAGGAGGAAGGCAGAGTGAGAATAAAAGTGCACACAGGGACAGACTGCGGAAGTCTACCTGGGGAAACCAAGAGGCAACAGACTGCAGAGGCCACAGTTAAGGTCATAGCATGAGACAGTCAAAGGGTTGGATCACCGATTAGAATTCTGCACCCAATTCCAACGTGTGTGTGTGAATGTTCCGGGAAGGGGTGGTTTCCCCACATCAACAGGCAATTCTGGGACACCAGCTGGGTGTCCTGAAATTCAACTCAATTCTGATACTATCGACCCTCTGGGTTAGCATCAGATTCCACAGATTGAGGGCTCAGTCCCACAAGCCTCTCCCTCCCCATCTTTAGATGTCATTGACAAGCGCGGGCTATCACTTGTGCTTCTGATCTACCTGCTCTGGGAGGTTCCAGTGATCCCCTCCTTGGATTCCATCTATTTGTTAGAGAAACTCACAGAACTGAGAAACATTTTACCTACTAGATTACTGGTGTTTTATAAAAGACTATTAAAGGGTATGAATCAACAGCCAGAAAAATAAATAAGGCAAGGTCCTGAACAAAGGGGTTTCTGTCCCCATGGAATTTGGCGCCCAGCACAGTGGCACATGGAAACATTCTGGTTTCCCAGCCTGGAAGCACTCCAAACCCCCTCCTTGTTTTTTTTTGTTTTTTTTGTTTTTTTTGGCTTTTTTTTTGTTTTTTTTTGTTTTTTTTTGTTTTTTTTTGTTTTTTTCATGGAGGCTCCATTACACAGGAATGATTGATGAACTCATTGGTCATTTGTGACTGATTCAAGCCCTTCTGCCTTCCCCAGAAATCAGGGGGTGGAACTGAAAGTTTCAACCCTTGTCACAAGGTTAGTTCCCCGGGAAACAGCCCCATTCCTTCCAGGATTTCCAAAAGTCACCACACTGACAAACTCAGAGGTAGCAGCAAGGGGCTTGTTACGAACAACAGGACATCCATGACAACTTTATGGCTCTGAAGTGTTTCCAGAAAGTGAGGACAAGAGACCAAATATGACAAAAGATGCTCCCACTGCTCTAATGGCTCATGAAATTTCAAGGACTTTGGGAGCTATGATCCAGACGATGTGGATGAAGTCCAAATATATATGAGAAATATATTTCGATTATCTGAATGACCAAACACGTATTTCTTATAATTCACAATGTCACACAATCTAGTGATGTTGCCATTGGTGCCCCTGCCCTTGCACTCTTGAAGTCACCCTGTCTTTGGCACCATGTTTTTCCTGGGACCTCAGTGCTTAAACTTCTTCTGTGACAGCCATCTCCAACTGGCTCTGCATCTTGTATCACACCTTCAGGATCCAGAATCCTGGACAGGATATTGCGTCTGGCCAAACTTAGTTCAAGTCACATGTGTGGCACATAGATGTTGGGGAGAGGGGCGGGAGAAATCTCTGCCTCCACCCTCAATAGTAGAGGAAGTAGAGCTCTGTGCCCTAGTGAGAGTCGTGCACTGAAGCATGTCCCCCAGGTGGAGAAGGTATTGGGTGCTGGAGAACCAAAAGATGACAAATATCTGATTTGTCGTGGTTACTGCTAGCACTGTCATGTTTGCGGGCTTCATGCCTCTGCCTGGGCTGGGAGCTTAGGGATGCGCACAACTTGCACACAGGACGGGTGCCTGACGAACGCCTTGGGGCCCGTCTGACCTCAAACGGAGCTTTTGCAGGCATTGTCTATTTGGACCACTTGCCTCAGAAACCCTTGGGCTGCTGGTTAAAATGCAGATTCCAGAGCTTTCCCAGACCGAGCAAATTGGAATCTCTGGGGGTTGGTGCTCAGGCATGTGTATGTTTGCCAGCCTCCTGTGTGATTTAGCCACGTGCCCATACTTGAGAACCGTGGTGTGGAGTAAGATTAAAGAAGGCAGATCATCAGAAAGGTTTGAGCTCCGTCTTGGAGGACAAGCCAAATTTGGATGCATGCTGTCATTCCAGATAGGGGGAACTGGTAGGGGGGTGCAGGATGTAGTGGTCAGTGGCCAGGGATGGAATGTCCTGGCGACCTGAGGAAGTGAGTGGAATGGAGGGGTGGGTCCAGACTTGGCATGGTGGAGAACAGGACGCTATTGAGTGTTGACTAATGGGCAGTGACGTAATAGCAGCAGGAAGGAAGATGTCACAAGGGCAGTGTTTGCTCTTTTCTCTTCTGCATTTTCCTGAGCTGCTCTCTCTTCACACTTCCCTTCTCACCTGCAAAGTAATAGTCAAGCCTCTCCAGGAACATGGAAGACATCCCTGAGGGGCAACATCCTCCAACAATGGGAAGAGCCTTGGGACAGCCAGTACCCAGTGGATCCTGGGATAGGATGGAGGGGACAGGGCTCTGGGGTGGCCATGGCTACTGCTGCTGCCGCTGCTCTGAGCCTCGGGTAAGGAGATGCAGGGGGAGGGATGGAGATGGCCAAAGGGGTAATGCTAAGAGGGGTTTCTCTCACTTCTTTAGGAGAGACTGAATGGGATCGGGGTGTGGGCTAGACACAGGAAAGGGAAGAGAAGGTAATGGACGCAGACTGTTGGTTAACCCTGTCCCAGCAGGAACTGGGTGATGAAACAGAATCTGGAGCTTTCTACAGTACACCGTGAAGTTAAGAAAACTACACGAAGTGAACTGAACAATCTCTTATTGCTGTGTTGATTTCCTGGGAGGTAGAAAGTATAAGATACAGTCTCTCCTTAAAGGAATCAGGCACTGAGGTAGAGGAGGCATTAGTAGAAGGCAAAGGTAAATAACAAAAGGGCAAAGCCACAGCATGAACACAAAAATATGGTGAAGTCCCTCTAGCAAGGCACAGGGAGGCAGTGTGGAAAAGAGGGTTCTGGAATCAGACAGAGCTGGGTTCAAATCCTATCTCTGCCACTTTCTACATTTGTGCTCTCAGGAAGTCCTCCAACCCCTCTGAACCTCAGGGTCCTCAATATTTATTTGTAAATGGTACCTAAGTGTTGTCCTAAGGGGGTTGTTCCTAAGAGTTAAACAGCAGACTGATGTACAATTCTAATGATCAGTATTTAGAGCATAGTCAGTGCTTAACAAAAGTTATGGTGGGTGATGATGGTGGTGGGGGTGGTAGTGGAAACAGGGGCAGGGTGATCAAAGGTATTGAGGGTTGAAAAGGGAAGGAGATGAGCGCAGGTGGAACTGTCCAGGTAGACTCCCTCTAGGACCAGAAGGGGTGGATGTGGGTGGAGAGGAGTGGGGGAGAGCACTCAGCCTGGGGACGGCAGGGGCTGGGATGAAGTACTGGGTGCTGGAAAGCCAGGGCCGTGTCTGGGGAAGCACAGGTAGAATAGAACATGGGTTGTAAAACGGGTCAAGTTCTCTTTCACTTTTTTTTTTTTACCATTTTATTGTTAAAATTTTTCAGTCTACAAAATACGGAAAGAATAGCCACCGTAAACTTGTTACCTAGATCAGAACATTCAACCATAATTGATATTTTGCATTATTTGCTCCATATGTGTGTACGTTGCTGAGATACATATTTACAAATATGTTAATTGCAAATATAAATGTATTTATTAATTCATTATATATATTAACACATATTATGTATATTTATAAATATGTATGTTTATATTATATTATGATATATAACTATACAATTGCATATCATATATATGTATATATAAAATTGCTGAACCATTTCAAAATAATTTACAGAAATCCTAAATTATTTATTTAAATAATTTTATTTATTTAATATTATAGTATTAAATATTAATATTTAATATTTATAATCATAATAATAAATACTTATACTATTAAATATTAATATTTAAATATTTAAGTGCTTGATGGAGCTGCTAATACTTTTGATCTGCGACCTTGTATCTGTGGTGGGGTCTGTGGATGTAGGGATGGTGGAAGGAACATTTGCTCAAGTGCAACACTTTGACTTCTCATTCTAGGATTCCAAGCTGTAGGTGAAGAGGAGAAACAAAAGTGACTGCTAGATGGAGAGACCTTGACCACAGCCTGCTCTTCAAGTGTCATGCTCTACTCCAGCCTGAAGGCCTGGCAGCGGGTGAGGAGCCAGCGCCCCCCAGAGACAGTGGTGTGCTCTTACACTTAGAAACAAAGACCCAGGGGCACCCGGGTGGCTCAGTCGGTTAAGCTTTGGTCTTGGCTCAGGTCATGATCTCGCGGTTTGTGAGTTGGAGCCTTACATTGGGCTCTGTGCTAACAGGTCAGAGCCTGGAGCCTGCTTTGTCTATCTGTCTGTCTGTCTGTCTCTCTCTCTCCAAAAAAAAAAAAAATATATTAAAAAAAAAAAAAAAGGAAAGAGAAGAAAAGAAAGAAGCAAAGACCTAAACTGGCCCAAACCAGGGATACCTGTTGAAGGTTGTCCCACGGAACCCATATTCAAGGTCACAATGGCAGGGCTCCAGTGGCAAGACTTAGGACTGCACTGGTGTGTGGTTGACCTCAGAACCCCCATGTCCTGTCCAAATGGATTTGGCTGATACAGTGCAAAGGTGAGAAGCAGCGAGACCCTGGACAGGAAAGGAATGGCTTTTTCGGAGGCTGGCCTCAGCCACAGGCTGAGAGGGCTGCTTTGGATGCCAGGTGGCACAGAGAGAGCAACTGGAAAAGCTCCAGACCTGAAAGCAGTGCACCGGGTTCTTCCACGCCCACTCTGTCAGTTTGCGAAAGTCCTACCTAGCTCCTCTCTCAGCCTCAGCTTTCCCACCTGTCGAGAAAAGAAAGTTGGGCTAGGTGATCTCAAAAATTCTCTTACTGTACATCAGAGAACCTGCTAGAGGAACTAGACACCTGAGCATCGACTTTGTGCCAAGTACTGGGTTCATCCATCTCCCTTCTATGAAATAGGTGCTGCTGCCCCCATGGTACAAGGGTGGGAGGCTCCAAGAAGTCAGGTTACTTGCTGTATCTTTCAGCGGGTACTTGGTGCAGCTGGGATCCTACAGAAACCCGCCTTGACTGGATGGTTCTTGGTGAATCCTGGAAATGGGCCCAGTTTGCCAATAGAAAGCTGCCCCCTTTCTCAAGGGATTTAAAAAGTAGTGGATGAGGGATAGATTCTAGAGAGCAAAATGAAGGGCCTTTCACTGACCTTGAGTTGCTTCTTATTGGTGGGGGCACCGCCAGTTTATTGGAAAGCCCATCTTCCCACGTGGGGAGACAGAGCAGGGAAGGTGAGGCCGACAATTTTGCCTCAAGCTTCTTGAGAAACATTCCCCTTTGGAGCTGGTGGGCTGGAGGGGCCTCCACCGCACAAGACACTGCTGGCCCACGCCCTGCTAACCCCAATATGTGACTATCACGAGAGGGCTGGGCTTAAATCGGACTGCAAAGTATCTGGAAATAAAGAGTTGACCATGCAAACTGATGGGGCTGTAGGCAGGACGGAGGGAAGATATTGAGCGCACGTCATAGAATATAGTCATTCCCCAGGACTTTAGAAACATCCAGTGACACCCAGTAATTAACTGGCTGGTTGCAAAGGATTTATGCGGTCAGTTAAGGGGTTTCATTGCCCTCTACTCAGGGACATTTCATTTTTTTATTATTATTTTTTAAAGTTTATTTTTATTTATTTGTTTAGAGAGCTAGAGAGAGAGCAAGCAGGGGAGGGGCAGAGCGAGAGGGAGACAGAATCCCCAGCAGACTTTGCACCATCAGTGCAGAGCCTGACAGGGCTTGCACTCATGAACCATGAAATCATGACCTGAGCCGAAATCAAGAGTCGGACGCTTAACCGACTGAGCCACCCAGGCACTCCAGGGACATTTTATTGACTTGGTCTTGGTGTCTGGATGCTGTGGAAGCACTAACACCTTGCTCTTCACCCAGGAAGGTGGGGGTTGTAACAGGACGAGGGGAGGTGTGCTGGCCCAATACCCATTCTCCCTGTGCCCTGAACATCCTCAGTGACCTTGAGTAAGTCTCTCACCCCTTTCTGGCTTCCTCCACGGTGATACTCAATGGCTCCATTTCTCTGGGTTCTTCTGTATTTATTGAGTTCAGAGAAACAAAGGCCTTATATTTTACACTTGGCAGAATTCGCCCACCCCAGACACCAGCAGACGGCATGGGCCCACCAGGTCCGAATCCATCCTTCCGCCTGGTTCCTTTACTCAAATCTTAATAAAGACAACAAGAAAAATAATCAAGAGTGACTGAGCCCAGACTCTTGCATGAGAAGTGTATCAAGTTTAGTACAAGATAAATGTAAACATAATTACTTTCATCAAGCCACAAAAGATGCTGTGGAGGACTAATAAATAGTAGCTTCATCCAGTAATTGCAGAGAACTTCAGGCTAATGTGGCTAAGGAAACTGAGTCTAGTACAGATTGCTCCTGCCTGAAGGAATTATTATTCTCACAAGGGAAACAAAATATAATCTTCTAAAAAGGTTTCTTTCTGGGGAGGGGTTGGTGTGCCCGGAGATAGACTTTCCCTCAGTGGATTGTGGGGAGTCCTTGTTTATTCTCCTTGACTTTTTCTTCAGTTTGCCAGGTGAGGGAGGGCATGGCAGTTGCCAACCACAGAAAGAAACTTAATATATTGGGGGGGGGGGATATTTGGAGGTGATAACATTGTCCACCCAACCCCACTGTAGGAAGGGAGGCCTGAAATGGGAATTTGAGAGGACAGAAAGTGGGCCCTGGAGGGCAGGAGGGAGGTTCTTGGTCTCATGGGCAAGTTCCATGTTGGGGCAGAAGCAAGGGCGGAAGGACTATTGTGGCAGATGAGCAATCACGTGACTGTGATGGTCTGGGAGGGCATGGGTGCTGAGAGCTGAAAGACCCTGAAGGCTGAGACCAGCTGTATGTCCCAGGATATATAGGAATGGAGTCAGGAAATGAGGGTTCCAGTGCTGGTTTTGTCTGTTGAGTGACCTTGGGCACTCCCTGTTACCTTGTTCCTTTGGGGGTTGGAATGGATGCAATTGAACGCCCCTAACTTTGACCTGCTAGGACCCTGTGAATGTTTCCCTCCCAAACAGAGTCTAGTCCCATGGCAACGAACTTGGGAGAGGGCCACTCAGCATGTAGGAGAAGAAGGGCCCTCTCTGGCTCGGACTGAGTCGGCTGGATTGTGCAGATAGGCTGGCAAACTCAGGATATGTTGACCCATCCTCCTCAAGCATTATCTGGGCACCCAGTAGGAACCCAGTGTCAGTCAAGGCTCAGAAAGGCTTTTTATCTCTTCTAGAAAATGGCACTAGCCAAGAGAACCAACAAAGGCAATCTGGATCCAGGGTAAGTTGTGTCTGAATGAGGGTTGTTACATGGAGGCCAGAGTAAAGCAGTGTAAAGGCTTAGTTGGGGCCCTCAGCTCAGGCCCCACGTGTGGACACCGGAGAGCCAGGCTGGACTTCTCCTGCTCCAGGTGGGCCAAGGGAGTCCTGAACCCTAGCAGGAAGAATGACCTTTGCTTCTATTTCTATCCTGAAGCCCCAGTGCAAGCCTTCAATGTCATCACCTCAAGGCAGCAAAAGTCCCATCCACCAGCCCCAGAGGAGAGGAGCTGGGGGTTGGGGAGCTAAGGACATACAGGTGTATCATACCCCTGCTTACAAGGCACCACCTGGAAAAAGTGGCCCAGGTGCAGTGGAATCTGAGTAATCAAGAGCCTCTTCCTTCCTTGGAGTCAAAGGAATGGGATCAACAGAAGTCCGTTCCTACCCAGACTTGCTGGGGAGTGGGGGCCAGAGGTGGGGGTCAGAAAACACTACCTGGAGGAGGAGAAACACTGAAGGCACAAAGGGCGTGGCGTTCCATGCCAGGGGCAAGTTGTGGGAATGCATGCACAGAGTGTGCTGCCTACAGAGGTAGACAGTTGGGCTGAGTGGCGAGAAGAGGGCAAGGTTAACGCAGGACCATAAATTCAAATGGTGGAGAGCTTTGAAGGCCATGTAGTCACATGCAGTTTGTCCTATAAGCAATGGGGCACACAAAGGGCTTTTCCTAGGCCCCCTGAGGGGAGGAGTGAGGGTCTGGGTGCAGAGTGACCCAGCAGCTATGCAGGAAGTCTGGAGGTGTTAGGCGCAGGAGACCAGGTAGATTCCTTTGGGGTGAGAGTCAGGGTTAAGATCCTGGGAAAAGTAGAGGCCTCATCTTCAAAGGGTGCGAACCCCTGTGTGGCTGCTCTCATGGCCAGAAGCAGGCAGATCCCCACCCTTTTGGACTCTGGGGGGTCAAACCTAGGATTCCAGTGCTCGCCCTTTCCCAGGACTTGCCGGTGTTGGCGACTGTTCTGACATGTGGATTCATCTCGTTCTCAGTCCTGTTTGCCTCTGTCCAGAAAGCCCGGGGCTCGCTCAGGCGAGTGAGGGCCAGGGCCAGGCTTGGGTGGAAATGAATGAGATGAATGAATGGACACAGGCAACAGCTGCAGATGTGGGTTTAGAGGTTCCCAGAGGTTCCCTAGAACCCATCCCCTGACTTTCTTCACTTCTGTGCTCAGAAGTCTTTGGAGAGGAGGCAGGGCCTCCCGCTGGGGGTGAGGTGAATGGGGTTGGGCTGGCTCCCCGGAAGGAAGGGTGGAAGGGGCGGGGTGAGGATTTTTGCTACTGGCAATCCAGCCTTTCCTTCAGAGGAGGGAGGAAGATGCAGGCCGGGGCTGACATGGACGCATCATTTTCAAATACTGTTCATTTCTGTCCCTCCTCAGGCAAGGCAGCCTCCTGGAGTGTCCCCAGGACACAGCACACCCAGGGAAGCAGACTTAACCTTCCAGGAGCTGACGGGCATGCCTTCCTCCCCTAACAAATACCACACTCCACTCTGTTCAGTGGTAAATAAGAGGCTTCCTGAACTTCTCTTGTGAGATCTCTGCCCAGCCCCTCTCTTACTCAGAGGGAGAAAAGCAGTACCAGGTGGGGGAGCATGGAGGGCTGGGTGCAAAGAAACCCAGGGGGAGTCATCAAGACCAAGGGCATGGCAATTGATTTCTGTGTTAAGTACAACAACTGGGACTCACAAAGTGTAATTCAGATGACACTTATATTTGTCCTCTTACTGCCGTCCAGCCTTGCTTGGCTAGAGACCTCATTGGCCCCCTGCTAAAGCCTATGGCAAGACCATCACTCTTCTGGGCATTAAAAAAAAAAATAGGCTTTATTTTTGAGAGCAGTTTTAGGTTCCCAGAAAAACCGAGTAGACGGTACAGTGTTCCGCTCTAACCCCTGCCCACCCCTCCATACACAGCTTCCCCCGCCATGGACATCCTGTCCCTGAGTGGTAGAACCAATGAATCTACATGGACACATCAGTGCCACCCAAAGCCCATAGATCACCTTAGGGCTCACGCTTGGCGTTGTCCATGCTATGGGTTTGGACAAATGTGCACTGACATGTACCCACAGCTGGAGTACCACACAGAGTAGTTTCACTCCCTTCAGACCCCTCTGTGCTCTGTCTATTCATCCACGCCCTTCTGGGCATTTCTAAACAATATAAAGTTTATTCCCAAGCTAGCTTCAGTTCAGTCAACCGACTGAGTTACCCAGGCGCCCGATACACATTTCATTCTATTATAGAATAGAATATAATGTGCACTTTAGTGGAAAACTGCATTGTCTCTAGCACACTCTCCCTTCGGTTCTCTGTTTCTGATTCAGTGGGAGCTATTTTGTAGTTATGTAAGTTGTAGGTAAGTGACAGACATGCAGATTCTGTGGATGGAGGTGGGGGAGGGGCGGGAATAAACACCAAACTGGTTTGTTTCCCCTTGCAATTCAACATTGCTTTCCTCCATATAAATATATGCTTCCTGACTTCCTTTTCTAACCAGATCTAACATCTGCCTGGTTCACTCACTGAGTATGAGTTTAAAAGAATCTTTAATGCATGTTTGTTTTTATTTATATTTTTAAATATTTATTTATTTTGAGAGAGAAAGTGCATGTGTGCATATGTGCATGAGCGGGGGAGGGGCAGAGAGAGAGGGAGAGAGGGCATCTGTCTGTGATGTCAGCGCAGAGTCCCACGGGCTGAAGCTCATGAAGTGTGAGGTCATGACCTGAGCTGATCCAGGTTGGACCCTTAACTGACTGAGCCACCCAGGTGCCCCAACGCATGTTTGTTTTTAACTGTAGTTTTGAAAACTATAACTCTGTTTATAAATTTCACTCAATCTTGCTTCTGACCCTGTCCTTGTATGATTCCATTGTGTTGAAACACACCCATATATGTTGTCGCCTGATTACCACACAGGTGCCTCTGTGATTCAGTGGGAAAGGTTGGTCTTCCCAATAGATGGTGATGGTTTATGGGACAGTCACCTGGGGCGGGTGGTGGTGGTGGGGGGGGAAGGCTTTTACCTTTCTCTCACACCATACACAAAATTAACTAAAATGGATCATAGACATAAAAATGAAAGGTATAAACAATAAAGCATCTAAAAGAAAACAGAAAATAGGACCTTAGAGTGGGCAAATGTTTCCTAAACAGGACACAAACAAGAGTAACCACGATAGAGTACGCATTCAGGAGTTGGACACTGAATGTAGGATAGTCACACATTTGTTCCACGTGGAAGTTCCAGAACTTTCTCACATTTTCATCAATACTGAATCCTACTCAACTTCCTAGTTCCTGCCAGTCTGCTGAGTACAAAGTGAAAGCTCAGTGTTTTCACCTGAGTGTTTCTCTGATAACTCTGATAACTGATGAGGTCAAACATCTATCCGTGGGCTTCTTAGGCATTTGGATTTTACTGTTTTACAACACTTTCTTCTGATCATTTTGCTGTTGAACTTCCTTTCTCCTGCTTGCTGATTCTTCAAAAAAAATTTTTTTAATGTTTATTCATTTTCGGGAGACAGAGCATGAGCAGGGGAGGGGCACAGAGAGAGGGAGACACAGAATCCAAAGCAGGCTCCAGGCTCCGGGCTGTCAGCACAGAACCTGATGCTGGGCTCGAACTCAACAGACCACGAGATCATGACCTGAGTTGAAGCTCAACCGACCCAGCCACCCAGATGCCCCATGTTCTGCTTGCTGAGTCTTAATAACCTCTTGGCTCATTTAGATATTCATTCATAGTCAGTTGTAGACACTGCGAATAGCTTCCCTCAGGCTCTCATCTGTTACCTGGCAACACACATCAAGCCAAGCCCAGGCCCAAGCCTCAGTGGTTTGGTGCAGAAGATACAATGAGCCGTGGGGTGCCTGGGTAGCTCAGTTGGTTAGCCATCTGACTTCGGCTCAGATCATGATCTTGCAGTCTGTGAGTTTGAGTCCCGCGTCGGGTTCTGTGCTGACAGCCCCGGAGTCTGGAGCCTGCTTCAGATTCTGGGTCTCCTCCTTTCTCTGCCCCTCCCATGCTCATGCTCTGTCTCTCCATAATAAAGAAATGTTAAAACAAATTAAAAAAAAAAAAAAAAGAAGAAGAAGAAAGGTACAATGAGCCGTGGGGTCCTTGTCCCATACACCAAAACAAAAGGGGTCAGAGAACTGCCTCGAGCCGTGTGATACCCGGCTGCTGAGGAACCCATTGGCGACTGCCACTCAGGGGTGTTATGGCCTGCAGCTCTGTTCTGAGGGATCAGCAGAATGCCTCTTCCCTTATCACATTACGGGAGGTGATGAGAAACTGTCTCCCAGGGGCATCAGGTGGTGGTGAGTGGCCTGTGTTCACCGACCACCGACATTCTCTCTCATTCTAGGAAGAGACAAGTGCGTCCGTCCCGACTCTGAGTAGCTGTAGACCTTTACCCTCATGGCTCCTGTGGCTGCAGGCAGGAGGCCAGGGTCCACATGGAGCTGTTCGCCGACATTGCTTTTGTCCACGATAGCCTTCGCTTGGAAAATGAATGTTTATGCCGTGAGCGTAAAGTACTTGTAACTACAAGCCACATCTTCGCCACATCTCACCGTCTATATTAACGCGCCTTTGCTATTCCACTGTTCTGGTTAGTATTACTTTACTTTTCCAGGCATTTTCTCGCCCAGGCAAATGGTTTCATTGTTCGTTATAGAAACTTCCTGGAAGATCCAGTGACTCTTCAATGTGGCGAGCATCAAGAGGTCGTTTGCACCCTAAGAATCTTTGAATCGCTGCCTCCACTGCCTCACCTTGCTGTTCCTAGCCAATCCTGGAGTGTTGTATTGCCATCTGTCCCCAGTCCTGGTGCAGCCCCTGCTATGCAAAGCCTGCCTTGAACTGAACTTCTCAATAAAGTCTGACCTTGCCTTCCTCTAAGATGCTGCCCGCAGCTCTGCCGAGGCGATGTTCTCCCTGACCGCCACCAGCAATAAACTCAGCTTTCTCTTCTCTGAAGGTCATGTTGCTGATATTTGGGAAGCCAGCGGGCGACCATGTAATTAAATCCACCTGTTTTCCCTTTATGACTTGGGTTTGATGATCTTATTTAAGATGTACTTCCCAATCTGCAGCACGATGATATTTTGAATATAGTCTCTTAGAAAATGTGCAAAGAGGGGCGCCAGGGTGGCTCAGTTGGTTGAGTGTCAGATCTTGGTGTCAGCTCAGGTCATGATCTCCAGTTTGTGAGTTTAAGCCCCACAATGGGCTTTGCGCTGACAGCTCGAATCCTGCTTGGGATTCTTTCTCTGTTTCTCTTTCTCTCTCTCTCTGTCTCTGTCTCTCTCGGAAATAAACAACAACAAAATTTAAAAAAAAGAAAATGTGCAAAGATATTCTCATACGTGATCTTCTATTAGCTTTATAGTTTCGACTTTCACAAACAGCACACGACAAAGAAGTCTGCCCCTCATTAGCAGGACAGAGTGTTGTTCAAATTGACCTCAGTTGTCAAAAGCTGTGCTAACACTCTCGCCACCAACCACACGTGGCTATTTCACATTTAAGTTAATTAAATTAAATGAAAAATAAAAATTCAGTTCCTCAGTGGCACCTGCTACATGTCAGACGCTCAATGACCACACGTGGCTATTGGCTATGGGGCTGTGCCGGAAGATTCGGGACATTTCCACCGCAGCAGGAAATTCTGTCAGACAGCCCTACTTTTAAGCTTTTTCCTTCAACAGAACCAGTGGGTTAACAAAGCTTTCAGTTCCTTGTTATAAACTTAGCTTCTTATTAACATGGATTAAAACTTTTTATAGCACGTGGCACTTTTACACCTGGGTAGTTTGGTTTATAGTTTCCATTCAATTAAAGCAGTAAAAAGAGACTCACACTTTTAATTTTTCATTCTCAAAGAAAGGGTGCATAGGCTCATATTATTTTGGTGCCTCGATCCTTTCCTCTCTTTCCCCACCGAGTGTTCCCCAATGCTGCCTTGTCCCTGGGTCTGCAAGGGCAAATAGAGCCCATTTGGAGGAGGGATGACAGGGACACGCTGCCAGCAGCCAGGGTGGATGAGGGCCGCTTATCAGTGAGCAAAGCACTGGGTGTGTGTTGGGGGCTAGGGTTCAAATGCACCCTGGCTCAGCTGGGACATCTCCGTGAGACCTTGGACAAGTCACTGACCTGCTTTGCAGCTCAGTCTCCGCAAGAGGCTGGAGATGTGCTCCATGGTCCCTTCCCCATCAGATCAAGGGGCATGTCCGGACGATGCCACAGCATTGAGCAAAGCAAGGCTCATGCAGTAAATGAAAAAAGCTGCCTGGCCTTCAGGGGACTCACAGTCTGTCTGGAGAGGAACGAAGAGTGTCCACAGTAGGGCAGTGACAGAACACAGCACAGGGTCAGGTACCGTTGTAAGCAGCCAGACACTGCATATAGGGAGTGGGGTGGTGGCTGCAGGCCAGAGTCCTCTGCACCAGCTTCTTGCAAGAGGACCCCCTTGGGGCCCGATGCCTGTGAGGCTAGTTGGGGAGCAGCTTTGGGAGGCATTCAGCACGGTTTGAGGCAGGACCAGCATGGCGGTCAGGACTAGGGCTATGGGGGGACCAGACACACTGGGGGCTAGAGACACGGGTGGGCACAGACTGTGGGGTCTTAATGCAAGCTGAGGCCTCTAACAGAGTCTAGAAGTCCAATTAATGAAGGGTAGCTGAGTGCTCACATTAGCTCCGTGGTGAGAGCATGTGGTCACAGACAGGAAGTGGCTGTAGACATCTCCTCCATCTTGTCCCCTCTGATCTGGGCCAGTGAGAGCTTGGGCTCCAGGCCTCCTGCTGATTTTCTTCAGAGATTCCAACTTCCCACCTCCTGCCTCTGCTGTTACTCTTCTCCTGGGGGCTCTCTGGGGCCTAGTTCCACAGCAGGACCAGAGCAGAGAGATCCAGGAACATGTGTGGCCTTGAGCAGACCAGGGTGTCCACTCATTTCAGGGGGGTGAGACAATCCTGTTTTACCAGAACAGGACTCTCTGAAGACTGAACATACCTAGGAAGAGCTAGGTTATAACCAACTGGGAAAGCCAGCCATATGAGTTCAGCACACACTCGGCCCCACACATGGTCGGTGTGCTGACCTTAGATAAACTCATCCCTTAAATGGCCGCGTTTGCTGTCCTTTGTGCCTCAATCAAACCAAATTCTTAAAAAATACCTGTTGTTCATTTGAGACTTGTTTGATATCTTCTCTCATGGGGCTAGGGGTTTGGGAGGATACCACAGAGGGAAATGCCATTCTCATCAGATCATGGTGGCAGTACCTACGACCCACATGATTATCACGGTTGGTCTCAGTCTCGATCACGGGGCTGAGATGGTGCTTGCCAGGTTTGTCCACTGCAAAGTTATTCTTTCCCTCTTTCCACGCTGTTCTTTTGGGAAGGAAGGCACCACAGACAGCCCACACTCAAGGGGTAGGGGTTATGCCCTCGCCCCCCCCCACCCCCCCACCCCCCCCGCCAGCCTTGAGGACAGAGTATCTATATAAATTATTTGGAAGTCTTCTTTGGAATTCACTTATCTGTAAATTTATTCAGTCATTCATTTATATCAATATGGACTCACGGATAGTTATTTTACACTTTACCACTTTATTTATCTCGTTGCTCAGTTCATTCCAACGTTGGCTGTCTTTTCTTCTGCATGTTTTACACACACATTTTTCATCTTTCACCCACTCAAGTTTTGTTCCAAACAATGTTGGTGGAGCGCCTATAGGGAATGAGAAGTGATGGAGCTGGTGCTGAGCCCCTCCTCCTTGGACCCGTCCCTTCTGCCTTCCCCTCTGATACCCACGCTCAGTGCTTCTCCTCCCCTGGCCCCCACCTTTCCCAGGGACCATCCTAATGATGAAACCCCAGGATGAAAACACATCATTGACTCCATGCCTGGGTATGGAGTCCCTGTCTTGCTCTGGGTACCAGGGGGATGCCATGGCCCCCTGACCGCCTACAAGCAGTGCATGGAGAGAAAAAATAGAGGAATGGCCTCTTCATTCACTATGGTTCTCTTCTTGGGCATTCTCAGAGCGTTTTGCAGCAACAGTGGAGGAATGTGATGGGGTGGAAGGTGTGGCATGACAGACATGGGGAGAAGCTGGGCAAAAGACAGCCACTGAGGCAGGACTGAGGTCTCTAGGCCCAGAGACAGACCCTGCAGGTGGTGGCCCCCTACTCAGGCCTGGCTGCTCCTCCCTCCCCTTTCCCCACAAAGCCTACCTGTCAGGGTACTCACTTCTCCAATCAAGGTGTTGGTCTTTCTCGATTCTTCTGGCTCAGAGATGCTGGGAAGCTGGGGCAGAATCAGGCTTATCTTATGCTTCCTTCTCCCCAGAGGCGCCCCTTCTCTCATCTTCAGAAACAGACTGGGGTAGCATGGCTTGGGGAGCCCTACACCTGCTCCTGCCCACCTGTCCTGCTGTACTCCTGGCCTCGGGTGAGATGCAGGGCATGAAGGTCAGGGTTGGGGCCAGGAGCAGGGTGGCTCTGTGACCAGGGTGTCCTAGGAGGCAAGTCTATCCAGGAAGACCCTGTACCGTCGTGTGTCCTAGCCCTATCCCCTTGTTTCCCACCAGCTCAGGGGAGAAACTGCTCCCTTTTGAGCCCAGTGCCAGTCTGGACTTCAGCTGATTACAAAGATCCCAGGCATCAATTACCCTTGGCCTGAGGGACCCTAAAGAGCTAGCTGTGTCCCCTTTCCATTTCCTCTCAAGGTTTTTGAAGGCCAATAGTATTCTCTATTCTGGTTCCCTGAGCATTAATTACCTTCTTTGTGTCCTCCTTAGTTCTGATCACTTCTCCAGAGGGGACCTCTTACCCACCCTCTCTCAATGGCTCTGAGCTCAGATAGGCAAGGGTCTCACCAACACCAGAAGGGAGGGTCCTGGGAAGGGATGGCCCGATAGCTCATGCACATGTGTCAGAGTCAGGAAAAGGGGACCCAAGTATTCTTTCCAAGGTGGTTGAAGCACAGGGTGCTACAGAGGAGTCCCCAAGGCTCAGATTCAAAATTGGGGAGAGAGGAATAAGGAGGAGGATACAGGTCATTAACTCTGAAAGAACTGTAAGAAAATTCAGTTAGACATGGGATTTTTGGAATGAGATCAGTGGAACCCACGTAATGTGGAAGCCAGAGGCTGTACTGGCACGCAAATGGTAGGTGTAGAAAGTGACCACAGACGGGCAGATGGTAGCCAGGAACGTAGCAAAAAAACAGGTGAGAAGAAATTTTTGATTTCTGCTCTTGACTCTTGCAGCCATGAGCTCTGAGACCATCATAACCTCCCCTTCATTGTAGAAGTAGGCTGGAAAAGCCTAGGTCACAGGTGCTCTAGGGGATCAAGTGGCCAACAAAAGCAGTGGAGTATTGATGAAGATAGATGATCAACTGCCTATGGGCATTTGATCCCTAACCCCTTCATTCTCCAAACTCCAAGACAGGTGGGTTAGAAACTAAAGAGGATCTCCCAAAGTATTTAAAGGTGAAACCCTGGACAGAGGATAGGAATGGCAGCAATGTGGGTATACCAGGGTATACAAGCCCTTGTGCTCTAGGGCTTACCTATCTCACTTTTTAAAAATGTTTATTTTTGAGAGAATGAGAGAGAGAGAGAGAAAAAGAGAGAGAGAGAGAGAGAGAGAGCACAAGCAGCAGAGGGGCAAAGAGAAAGAGGGACAGAGGAGCCAAAGCAGGCTCTGTGCTGACAGCACAAAGCCCGACTCGGGGCTCCAACTCACGAACCGTGAGATCATGACTTGAGCTGAAGTCAGAGGCTCAGCTGACTGAGCCACCCAGGCCCCCCCTCCCACTTTTTTTTTTTTTTAATTTTTTTTTTCAATGTTTATTTATTTTTGGGACAGAGAGAGACAGAGCATGAACGGGGGAGGGGCAGAGAGAGAGGGAGACACAGAATCGGAAACAGGCTCCAGGCTCTGAGCCATCAGCCCAGAGCCCGACGTGGGGCTCGAACTCACGGACCGCGAGATCGTGACCTGGCTGAAGTCGGAGGCTTAACCGACTGC